AATAGATTTAGCCACCTGATTTTTTTTTTTTTTAGTGGATAAATAATCGGTTATCATCAATACTGGGTTGTAGTAGTTCACGTACTCTTCTTGCAGGTGGTACACTGGCAATTAGTGCACTTGCAGGTGGCACCACAGTTGCAAGTTCCAGCTACACGCAGGAGAAAGAGAAAAATAAAATAAACCCCACAGCAAAAATTAAAATGTCGTTGACACTGATTGCAAGTCTATAAGAAACTAGATTTCAAAGTACAAACAGTAAGTTCAGCATAATTGAAAAGTCAGCATCTAAAAAGCTTACTCTTGGCGCAATCGCAAGGATCCATTTTCCCTCAAGAGTATCCTTAAAGAGTCCGAAAGTCTCGCTTCACTCGGTTTGTGAATGCGTTGATGTGGAAGGTACCAGAGGACTGATCGTGCGCTGGTTTTATACAGCTCTGACTGCACACAGCCCGAGCGCAAAAGCCCGCCCGCTCCAGTCTGCACACGGTGACTCATTAATGAAACTGGGTGCAAAGTATCAAACAATCAGGAATCACCAAGCCCACCCTGATTCACATCAATGTGGTATTTATACGATTATATAACTACCATTTCCGCTCCGCGGGCTGAATATTGATTGCGGAGTGTTTATGTGATTAGAGACTTCGATGCTTTTGTATGTTATTTCCTTTTTTGGGAAGTGAAAGATATTCTTTTTATTAACAACTTTTTTTTAATAAGACACTATTTTGTTAGAGTCAAAGAGAACTATAAAAGACCATACTTTGTCATACTTGCTCAGTTTTTGAGTTTCTTTAATGGTTTTAGATTGTTGTAAGAAGGCAAAGTGATACTACCCTACTAAATATGAAAATAAACACGTATTTAAGCATAAATAAATGATCATTTAAGCAGATAAGGCCCATCGAGGGCGTCTTTGGAAGATGTTCGCGTACAGGCAAATTTTGAATTTTTGAAAGCTTTATTCTCTCCCGTGTAATTGTTTGTCGTTTGTCCCTTTTTGCACACGGCGCCTAAAGTGAAACTAACTGTGACGTGTCCGTGTGAAACTGCACGTGCTCCCCCTGTCTGCACTCGGCGAGGATGCTGGCAAGAC